GGGGGGGGGGGGGGACAAGAATCAAATGGCAAAAAAGATCAAAAAAAAAATAGGAAGAGGCATCAGTTCTCCAAGGTGATGTAGCATCAATGAAAATATTCAGACGCAAATTACCCATTTGTTTTTTGAGATTCATCATCTGCCTATTCCATACAACTGAAAATTAGAGCGTATAAACACACACATATATATATATGTATGTGTGTAATCGAGTGTGTGAAATTTTGAGAGAAAGGGGAAGAGTGCAGAAGCGATCAGAACCTGTCGGGATTCACTCTTAACATCACACTATTTATATATCAGCGGATTGACAGACAAATGAATTCTATCGTCACTTCGCTCTTTCTCTTCCCCAAAATATGCAGGAATAGAAATTCAATACACATAAAACAAATCATCAAAAAGATTTAAAGGATGAGAGAGAGAAGTGCTCAGAACTTCTTAGAGGTTGTTGCTGCCATCAACGAAAGAGTCGTAAGAGACTCTTCTCCGGCGCAAATGGATTTCCTCACAGCACATATTTATCAAAAACAAAACTACATGTATTTACATAATTATAGGTACGTGAAAGCTTATTTTTCACAAACACATGCCTATAAATAGAGAGATATTCGAAGAAGATTAATGCAGAACGAAACCCTAGGTATGGTGAGACTGTGTCGCGAAGAGGCGAGATTGGAGAGACACAAGTAGTGCAGAGGCGATTAGATTTTATAGACAAACCCTAGGCTAGTAGTGCTGTAGTGACGGCGTGTGGCAAAAACCCTAGCATGTGTACCGAGACGACTGTATTGTGCCTTTTTTTTGCCCTCTCACTCCTTTCCTATTTTCTGAAATAGCTTATAATATATATATATAACTTAATTTAAATTTAAATGCATCGAGAGCAAATAAGAAGGAGGAAAATGCTATCTGGAGAGTTGTCTAAAAAACAAGTGTGTAGAAAAGACAATAAAAAATAATTTTAGGATAAATTTTTGACTTCGCAAATGTAATACTGGATAGGAGATTTAGGGTAATTTATAATTCTATATATTCTTTGCAAATTCTACTTTAGCCCATGTAATTTGATTTTGTGGTTGATTATCTCTCTCATAGTTTAAAAATAATACTACTTAGATTTAAAAATTTAAAAATAATATATTGATCCAAGGGCAGTCTAATCTGTTTTGGTTTTTTTTTAATTATTATTAATATAATTATTATTTATTTTATTTTTTAAAATTCAAAATTACTAATAAATTTTTTTGTATGTTCTTCATGATCAAGAATTATTCTATTACATTTTCCACTATCATTATAAAAAAAATTTTTGTTATTTTTTCATCATATAATTTCAATATCTTCTAATTATTTAAGATTTATCACTTGTTTATTGCAAAACATTCACTTAAATCTTTTATTATTTTTTTATTACTAATAATAAATTTATTAAGAATTTTTTTTTTTTTTTTTGTGATTCAATAAGTTTTTTCTATTTTTCTCTCTTTTTTTAAGTTCCTCATATTTGAATTGTTGTTTTTTAGTAGATACAGTTTTTTGATAATTTAATTTTTTTAATAAATCAATCAAATATTCTCTATAAGAAAAAAAAACTTTATAAAAATTAAAATTCTAAAATAATAACACTTAATTTTATCATTAGTGTTCCTAAAACTTAGGATATTATAATGTGATTCTCCTTTAATATTATCTATAAAAAAAATAAAACAAATAAAATAAGTTGGTTGATACTATATTTTGTACAAAATAATTTTAAAAAAGAGAAAGTGCAAATATAAAATAATATACCGGAGGGTTGATTTGATGATTTTTGTTGTGTGAATTAGAAAAACAATCACAAGTCAAAAAGGAGAGAGAACTCTTTATTTTGTTTTTAGATGAAAACAAAATTTAATTATGTGTATTGGGTAAGAGAGAGAGAGGGGGAGAGAGAAAGGGATTGATGTTTTAACACGAGAGACATAGTAGGGAGTGTTTGATTGATGTAATTGACTGGTTAAAAAGAGTAATTAATGGTATTGATTATTAACTTTCATTTTTGCATGTGAATCAGATACCTTTTTTTTTTTTTTTGGTTAAAATTTCATATTTTTAACCAAAATGAATTGTTAGCCTTTTACTTTTATTATCCCACAAACATTTTAGGTTTTTAGACTCAATTTTGTTAGTTTGAACTACATATGATCTTTTTGTTTGGACTCAATTTTATTTGAGTACAAATGGGGCCTTTATTTTAACATTAATGCTATTGGAACATAATTTAAAGACATAATGAATTATCACCACTGAAATGTATTTAACGATGAATCCCATTGTAACATTAAATGAATTTATTATCATATCATTGATGACAACAAATTATATCTCTAAATTATGTCCCAATAACATTAACGTGAAATAATTTAAGAAAAATAGATAAAAAAAAATTGTGAAAAATCAAAAAAAGAAAATTATGTGTGATCAATGACACGGTTATTGTTCATTGTTGTCTCTGAAATTTTAATTTTCTCTCAAAAATTAGGGTTGTAACTGCAAAAATAGATATTTAAAAAAAAAATAAAGGTTATAGATGCCAAAATGAACGATTCCAGATATGCCATAGCATTTGCTTTGCACTTGCAAGTTCTTTGACAAGCTGAATTTAAATTGACAACATAGATCGACTTTTTTTTACATAGGGTATAGATGATTAAACAAGGAAAATTTTCATCCAACAATGGTTTTCACAAGATTCGTCAATTCCCCCAAGCATGTACTACCATTCGTAAGCTCTTTCGTTATCATCAAATCATAGGATCAATGTCCAAAGTGCCCAACAACAGGTTTGATGCATACATGAAAGACCTGTAGGAAATATTCTGTAAAGGCTAAAAGGAACCCAAAAAAAAAAAAAAAAAAAAAACCCACCCCACAGCTTATCTAGTCCTTGACTACTAAGAGAGCAATGTGTTTTCCACTCCTCATAGAACAGGGATGGGGGTGGGGTGGGGTGAGGTGAGGTGGTGTTGTCTATGGTTAGTCTTGTAGTCAATAGGCTAAAGAGAGAAAGGGCAAGGAGAGAATAAATTATGACCAAGGGTACAAATTACCAAGAAATGAGAGAAAGACTGCATGAAGGATTACACCATTGGTGGACTGTCCTGAATCTCTCCTACCTGTCCGATTCACTGGAAAATGCTACTCACTGAGCAATCATCATGAACGCGCCAAATGGTTTCACCCAAGAGGTTTGCTACCGAAAGAACAGTCAACTGAGGAAAGTAGTTCTTCTCCATTACTGGAATTGTGTTCGAAACGATGACCTCTTGAAACAGGCCACTTGACAGCCTCTCAACTGCAGGAGGACTGTAAAGGAAACAAATCAAAACATCAGTCCTATGTCAATAAATGGGTAAACATATGACCCATGCACCATTCTGGACCTTCATCTGCTTCAGAGAGAGACAACCAAAAACACTAAATTGTGGGCCTTTTCGAGGTGGGGCAGGGATTTCGGTCATTCTACAACAAAGTGCCATAGAACAAAGAAATAAAATGATAAGCAATCGCAGACTCGTTGTGTACACAGAATAATGAACTCAAATAGGAGATGTCCAATGGATGAGTCGAGCTATAGTCTCCCATCAGAACCATCATTCACTATATATTTTTCAAAATATAGTGCTTTTTCCCATCTGTGGGATTTCTAGGCCGACATATTTTATTTGAACCAACCAAGCCTGATCTACTATAAAGAGGACCACCTCTATTTCTCCAATGTCAGCATCAGAGAATTCATATGTTTAAATAAATTGAGAATTTCTGCAAAGAATTGTGGTGATCACAGAAGCTGCCAACCTATACTTTTCAAATTTTTAGAAAACATAACAAGTCCATATTCTGCCAAGTAGACAAGATACAGGCCATACATATACAGAGATGGAACAAAAAGATCAGAGCAATAGATGAAGATGTCACCTAAAAACAGCATGGGTGCAGCAAGCATATACTTCCCTGGCCCCCTCTTCATGTAACAAGGCTGCACCTTTTGCAATAGTTCCTAAAACCCACAAGAAGCAATTCACAAGTTAGTGATCATAACTCAAAAACATGGCTTTAGTGCTTTAAAATTTTGGACCCCTAGTTACTCCTAGTATGTCGAAAACTACTTTTGAAGGTAAAGAATAGGATACTTGGAAAGAGACTTTCTTCAAGAACTTATCCATTGGCAAGTTACAAAGTCAACAAAGCATCTCCATGGCTTACAAGGCAAAAGAACTAGTAAGTAAATGAGCTGCGAACTTGGGTGTGGTCCCAAGACATCATTGCAGTTCAGATCCAATACACAAAAGCGAGTGAAGAGCAAGAAACATATGAACTGAAAACTTTCACAGATACTGAGAAATCTTGGGGGTGACACCAAGTTAATACTGATGGACAACCGATAATTATTGAAGTTTGTAATATAGTCGAACTAGATGGAGAATAATCTGGTAGGAGACTTGGGGATGACATATGCAATTAACATTCATCGTCATAAACACGAAGATAAGTATGTTAATGGCTTTCCTAGTTTCTTCCACCTCTGGTAATTTCTTCATAGATAATAGAGTTTACAACCTCAAGCTTGACATCTATGACTGCACTCACCAGCAGTGTCAATCATGTCATCCACCATCACAGCAACTTTTCCTTTAACATCACCAATCAGATTCATAACCTGTAAGATGACAATGAATTGTAGAATTAAGGACATGACAGGGATTGCGTGATATAAGATAAGAAAACAACAGTTCTTCCGTAGAGCTGCAAGAAAATAAGACAAATTTTGTGTGAATTGCAAAGTTTGGTGTACCAGGCACAGTATGCATGAGTTGCAATTCAAAGAATTATAGCTACCCCTAAAAAAAAAAGGTTTAAAAGAAAAATATCAGAAATGAAATGGCAAACAGATGTCTGCAACAGCCCTTGAACACCGCAGATTGATGACCTTGTACTGATGGACTCAACTTTCTTGTTTCTTATTCCAGATAATTCCCTATAACACTCCAAGACCACAGGGAGTATTTCAACAACGTAATGCAGCCATCAGAGGAGTAGAAGGATATTAGTTTACAAAAAACTTTCTTTGGGGCTGATGAACACCTTATTTCATTTACAGCCAATACAGCATCCGACTTATAATCGATTCTGGATACCTGCAAGCCAATAGGCTGCTTTATAAATGCCAACAAACTTGATGTAACTGAGGCTGCACAAAATTGTGACAAATGAGAGTCTTACACTCTTTTATCAATGACCAAATTTTCCAAGGAATACAGAGTTTGCCTGCTGTAAATCTTCAAAGAACCTGTAATGCTCCTCCAGCTATATAGCAACAACTCAAAAACTGTGTGAATGACAGAGTCCTTCAAATCTTGATTTGTATCCCTTGTAAGGCATGCCTCCAACACAAAGACGCTTTTGGGATATAAAATTTTATCCATGAATTCTTTAGGTTGCTCTATTATCACCAATGAGGACACTGTTAAGAACAATTGCTAACCTCCACTTTTGAGGTGATCTTCAGAATCTTAAACAACTGAGAAGAATGGATGACCACCAAAACAAGGGCAAATGAAGGAATAAACAAGTTGATTTGGTTCAAAACAAGGCCAATGCCTTGTCCTTGCTTCCAAAAATCCTCAACTTTGTTTAGCCTTTTGCACACTTCCCCATCATTGAGGTTGTTCAAGGTAACAGGAATTATATGGCCTCGATAGCTGGTAGGCTTTGAGCAAGTGTGGGATAGATTAGATGTAGGTTGAAATGGCGAGAGCAAGGACAGAAAATATGGATCTATGGAACTGGGAAGAGACAAGGAAGCTAAATTATTAGTTTGACTCAATAATCAAATCATATAACAAAATAATTCACTTGGAGCAATTTGCTTCACTTATTTGGCCTCCGTTATGTTCAATGAAAGTCAAGTCTCTAAATTTCAAATGCAACTTGTACAATTTGAGCATGAAGTAAAACTAAGCTCCTTATAGTGGTGGTTGAAATGAGCCAACTCCAAGGCCCTTGGTCTCACAGATAACATATGCCAATCTTTGATGCAATGTACTTGAAAACTACAGTACTCAGAAAGCTGACTGCGTTCCAACTAGCTCATAAAGAGAATATTTTCCTTGAACTTATTTTAAGGAAAATACAATATAACGGAGTAAAGAACTGATGGATTCAATATTCATAGGTTCATAGTATTGACAGTTTGACACATGTTTCACACAAGATAGTCATGAGTTTAGTTCAACAATACTCACTCAATAAGAATTAAACAATCAAGACTTAGCAAGGGTCATTTGTACAAACCCCAAGACCAACCAGTTTTGAGGCTAAATGCAGGTGATACAATTTTGCGCGTTTGATTCTCAATTTTGGATTAAAATTTACTCTTTGAATTTGCCCAAAATCAGTCCAATGGATTTTTTTTCATTTGCCCCTAGGTAAGAAGAGGGGTTCCATAGACAAAGATGAATGTGCCCAAATTGGCAAGTCCAAGTTATTTATTGCAAAAAGAAAATTTGATGAATTCAAAAGTTGATGAATTATTTGTGCACTTGTTAAGAGAGGGAACATGTAAGCCTGGTGCTCAAAAAATGGTTGAGCAAGAGAAATGCTTGTGATTTGTCACCTACTTGTTCCATGTCTCTCTAATAAAGTTTATAATCCATGATATTGCAGTTTATTTAAAAAAGTTCAATAACTTATTTCAGTGTCTTAGCACAGAAATTACCTCAGCAACATTATGACCATGACGCCTTTTGTCCACAATGGCTAAAGGTGCATCAGATAATTTTTTTGCAAAAGCACGTGCTCTAGCAACTCCTCCAACATCAGGTGAGACCACTACCAAATCATTACAACAAACTTTCTTGCTGGCAAGGTAATCAAGAATCACGGGCTTTTGCAGTCATAACAGATGCAGCTAATCAGTAAATACTCCATCAACTAAACTACATGAATTTCAAACTCTGGACTATTTACCTGACAGTATACATGGTCCACAGGAATGTCAAAGTAGCCCATGGATTGCCCAGAATGAAGATCACAAGCCAGAACACGATCTGCACCTGCTTCCGTGATAAGGTTAGCCACTAGTTTGGCAGCAATGGATTCACGCCCTTGAGTCTGTAAAGAAGAAGAAAGACTGAAACAATGAAAATATGAATTCGTGGCAACCTGCTGTAGATGCCCTGGACACTTAATGTTCTGTCATGCAACCTGACCAGGAGACTAAGGATTCCCAATCATGAAGGAGGGGGTATATCACTAAACTAAACCCGATTTCTAAAGTTCTATCTTTAATCTTGAGGACAAAACTGAGATCAAAATATGTTTTTGTTTCCAATTATTTAACTTTTGAGCAGGATATGTTTATAGGTTCCATATGTCCTGATAACAAAAAATTGTCACCACATGATCACTGTATTATGAAAAATAGAGAGAAGAGTGGTGCACAATAATTGCTCATAAGATTGATGAGATTCCACACACTAGGCGATCACCCACACGGGCCTAGCAAATTGTGAAACCATATCACTTTCATGTTTTCTAAATATTCTTAGGTTCATATTTCATGGGCGGTCTCCCATTATACTCTGACCATAAACATGACACACATAAGCATATCTAATTTGGACCGCAGCTTAAACTTGCCTTTCTATCAGCTCTAGCATATCCAAAATATGGAATGACTGCTGTAATGTTTTTGGCTGATGCCCTTCGACAAGCATCAATCATTATAAGAAGCTCCATAAGATTTTCATTTGCTGGAGGGCAGGTAGGCTGCACCAAGTACACATCACATCCTCTAACACTCTCTTGCAACTGAACATAGATCTCACCATCAGCAAACCGCTTTATCTTGATTTGTCCAAGGTTAAGGCCCATGTACCAAGCAATTTCCTAAGAGATAAAATGGAAGCGAGTCAGCAATACAAAGTAAGAAGTTAGTCACCAAAAGAAACGACATAGTTCAAAGCCTCAAAATACTGAAAAACGGAGAAACGCATCTTGAAAAATATATGGACAAACCATTTCAAAGTCACAGACACAGTCTCTCTCACTCTCATCTCTTCTCTTATTTATTTTTAATCTTGTCTTTTTCTTTTCACATATTTTCTTTCCCTGATGGATGCTAATAGCCTTTGATCAGAGGGAAGAACTAAAAGTAAGAAAATATAAATGAACTTTACATACAAGCATCTGAAACAAATAATAGGACCATTGAAGGAAAAGGTTAATGCAATTCATTAAAATCCATATGTAAATAATACACATGCCCTCCAAATAACCATTGACAGTCAAATTTCTCCAATATGTCATTGAGTTAGGAAGCCCCATTGACAGCCTTTGGAGTAAATATTAATGTTTGTTGAAAACATGAATTGAAATTAGTGGTTTTAATATTTATATTTGGAAGGAAATCAGATTTCTAAGACTATAAAGAACAAGAAACATAATTGTGTACTCACCCACACTCACAATAAAACACACTTAAAAATTAGAATCTTAGCACCAACAAAGAAACACAAAACAAAAAAAAAGTTCAAAAAACGGTTACGAAACGATGATATTATATGGCATTTTTTAAAATTTGAATCATTTGAAAAAGACACACATAGCCTCTAAGTCCAACCCAACCAAGGAATCTCAAAAGGGCCGGATTTTAGGAAAGATTTTCTAATTTTTGGTTATTGGGAAAAGACATACACACACACACACACACAGCCTACAACCCCTACTCAAACAAAGCACACTACAATAAAAGAGATGATTACAGTAAATCATATACGAGGGGATACTGTACAAATGCAGCAACAATTTATTCAAACATAGTATTCATCAATTTGACAGTTATCCAGTTTAGCATAGACTCCCTAACTCCTAAATGGTGGAAAAATCGCTATGAAGATTATTAAATTTACCTGAGAAAGTGCAGGATTAGCTGTGCCAGAGAATATCTTAAGTCTGGTATTGCTGCTCTTGTTGACTACATTCTCCAAGCGTGTTGATTGCAAGAACTTAGTAAACGTTCGGTCATTAAGGATTGGTACACAATGCTTTCCATTAACTGGTTCAGTAAGTTCACATTTCTGACCAAAAATAGTGTTAGATATACACACATCAATACAATAAATAACATCTACATTATTGGACTTTCTATTCTAATATATCGCTTAACTTTAGCAGAGCCCACCTCCCAGCAAGTGAAAGCTTAATGTGTGTGGGTGTGTTGTGTTGAAGCAAATCCGAGTGAACATCAATCAATACCAAAATTCAAGGGAACCAACATAAATATCAATCAGACAAAAAGAATAACTTCGATACAATTGTTTGATAAACCATGAATTAAAAAAAATGATACAAATATAGTAAAATTCGGCTTAGTTGTGAAAATCCAAGATAAAAAAAGGTCAGAAATTGTAGTTATTATAACCTTTTGTGATTTTATGAATATCACTTCATTCGGAATCAATAACACTTATTATTCAGCAAGCCAAATGAAAAACAAAACATTGAATAAATTAAAAAGTTTTAATTTATGGCAACTTTCTCGGCAACCAAACGGCAGACAAAATGTAGCGGAACTTAATCTCTTTATCAAAATAGGATCGTAAGAACAGAGAGAGAGAGAGAACTTACGACACCGTTTGGCGGGTAAATCCGAGGACGAGCTTCATTGGACACGAAGCTCCTCTGGCTCAGCGAGTAACGAGAAAACAGAGACGAAGGTGTTGAAGACGACGAAGGCGATGGCAAAACCACAGACGCCATGTGTGTGTGGATGCGTTAGGGTCTGAGAGAGAGAAAGCAAGAGAGGTTTTCGAGCTTTCTCTTTTGGTTTGTATGGCGCTGCGTTCTCTGTATTTGCACGGATTTCGTTTCATATATGAACAGATTCACACATGTGACATCCGAAAAAACGACGACGTTGCGTGTTGTATTGTAAATAACTTTACTTCGTCAAAGAAAGTAAGCCCAAGGAAGAAAGGCAAGAATGCTTTACTTTTGTCTTCACTAGTTGTGGGCCACTTGGAAATTAAGGAAGTCCTTGGGTGTGGAACACAACTTGGTTGACTCAAATTTATTCCAGTAGACTTTAAAGTAGCCCTCGCAATCGTGCTCATCGAATCGGGCCTTAGTGAGTTGGTATCAAAAATTATTAATTATATACGATTTATTTATAAAATAAAGTGAGAAAAATTTATAAAATTAAACATAATTAATTTTTTTAAGCAAGTCTAAAAAAATATTCAAGTTCGACTTATTTTCTTCAAGTCTGAACAAGTCAAAAACGGGTCGAATCTGAACCGAGCCCAAATATTTATATATAAATGAGTCGAGTTTGTCGACTCATTTTCTGAACGAGTCGAACTTGAATCGAACTCAAATAACTCAGTTCAATTCTCAGTCCTAATCGTCACCAACACCCTCTATTAACACCCCTATCTCAATCATAGTATTTTAAAAATTTATTCATTATTGTACTAAATTAAAAAAGGATGAAATAAATTAATTTTATGGGAGTAATTACATAAGTCATATTGAATGATTTAATTTGATGACGTCAGTGCATTATTATTAAATAATTTTAAATAAAAAAAATCTACTACTTGAAGAGGGAAATCTCCTAAATTGATTGCTATAGTGTATGGCAAATATAGGTTTAGGTGCAGGGGAGTATGCTGGGACAATTGTGAAAACTTTAGGAGTTATTTTATTAATAAAGAATTAAGTTATTTAAAAAAAAAAGGCTATTAACATAAAACAAATTAAATTTGACAATTTAAAAAATAAAAAATTCAAAAAATGTGTGATAGAGTTTTAGAGCTCATTCAAGCCATTACATTGCTATATGTTATGTACTGGAGCCGTCCTGTGCATCCATGTTCTATTTTTTTTTTCCTCTCTCGCTCTTATTTATTGGAAAAGTTTAAAAAAGCATGGAAATTAATAAGAGATAATTTTTTTTTTTTTTGAAAAATTCAAGTGAATGGTAATTAGCTAGAGAGAGATTGAAAGAGTAGTTATAAGAGTCCAAGTAATAAATTTTTTAATTATAAAATGACCCATAAAAATTATAAAGATACCCATTAAAATAGTAAAAATTAAAAGTACAATACCAAATTTTTTTATTTTGATACTATAGTCAAATCCTAATTTTTATGGTAAATTAGTAACATTATATGCTCACCGAGATCACAATTCACATGTCAGCGAAGATTAGATCCTTAATATGACTGCATGAGAAGCATGGTCTGTTTTGCGTTACATCACTTCAAAAAAGAGGCAAAAGCTGAGACGGAAGGTTTTCGTTAACCAGTATGAATGGAAGACTCGGGTCTCCTTTCGCTTACCAATCGTATAACCACATTCAAACCTAGTTGAAGAAGATTACGCAACCCAAAAAGAAAAAAATTGTAAGTTTTAAAAATTGAGATATAAGTTTTTATATTTATTTATAATAAAAAATATTAATAGTTTCTTTTATGTTAAAATTTTCATAATTTAAGTTATAACTTTTTAGGGAAATCTCAAGTGGCCTCAAAAGTTGTAAGTGATCCCCAAAAAATTAAAAATATTTCTCAAAATTTGTAAATAACCTCCAAAATACTATAAGAAAATCATAAATTTTAGATACCGGATTTTAATTTTTTTTTTTGTAAATCTATATAATAAAATATCTTACAATTCAAATTTTAAAAAGATAAACAAAATGACTTTTGTTTTTCGCGATTCAGATTATTTTAAATTTTACTTTAAAATTAATCTAACGGCTAATATTAATACCCTAAATTTAATAGAAAAAATAGGGCTCTAAAGGTGTGTTTAGAGTGACTTTCTAAAATTATTTTTATAAATTATTTCTCATAATTACTTTGAAAAAAAATAGTGTTTGAAACCATCTCACTCACTGCTGCCTTTACCACCACAGCCCTTCTCTGTATTCCCCAGGCTTCGTTCTTTGCATTCATATAAATTATGTGTTGATCTTTATATGCATGTACACTTATATTCCTATTTGGGCCAGTATTTTGTGTACAATTATTGCTATATGTTTTGCTGAGTTCGGAGTTTTAGGATAGAATTGGGGATAACTTATTGGGAATTCTAGAGTTTTCTTTCTGCGCTCTTGACCTAGTTTATTCTGTTTCGTACTAGTAGCACGAAGTTCCTTTTCCTATCTGTTTGTGTGGAGGATAATCGAACTCTTATAATATGACATTCTAAAGGTATTGCAGGAGTCTAGAGAAGAAAGGTGGCTAGACATGTCCCCTTTTCTTTGATCATTGACAATGCCTTGTAGTATGGGAAATATGAGAGGTTCTTATGCATCATATTATAGATGTCTGAATATTGGTCGATGTGTGGGCAATCTCTGCTCAACTGTTTATTTTTAAATTCTTCCTGTTATTATTGAATGCACTAGAATGCAAATCGAAATGATAGGACTAGTAAACTAATTGATAAAATTGGCAAAAGTAAAATAAGGAATGCACGAAAAAGACATTGGTAACAAGACTTGAAAGACTAGAGAAAATTTGAGGTAGAGTCTGCAAATTCTGTGTGCTTGGTAGGTTGGTTATCAAGGTTGGAACAATATAGCTAAGTTGTAATAAGTCTGACTGTCTAACAAGATATTAAGATCTTGTCAAGTAGTCCTCAACAAGCCTTGGCCACTACCATGTCTTTTGTTTGGTAAACCAACTCAGCCTATTGCTGCTAAGATATTGGTCCATGAGTTAAGTTTTGTATAATTGATTGCCCTTTAAATTCCATCCGACGGTTGGTTTACATCATCTTTGGAGGCATATGCAGATAGTTCACTCACAAACATTGAACATTTTTTTGATAGCAAACGAGAAAATATTTTTAATGATAAAAGTGGAAAAGTACATGAGCAGACAACAAGAAATGGATTGTCATGGTCAAATTTGAACATGTTCAAACTTGAACTTCATGGATTCTCATGTTGAACTTTGCTTTTGGTGAATGAGTACTGTCTAGTGATGGATTTATAACATTAAACTAAAGTATTGTACTGTCATATTGTTATTGTCGTAGTTTTCCTCAAAATAGATGTTATGGCCTTTCAGTTTTTTCAATTTAAACTTGAAGTGGCATTTTGGAGCTTATGAGGATTTGGAAAGGAGATTTCAACTCAGAGAAGAGTGTTACGTGATATATAAAGACGGGTTCTGTAGAATCCATTTTTTCATCATAAGACTTCCAATGCCACTATTTGTATGGTGACATTATGAGATTCATGAAGTTTTCCCAAAATACAATAGCCTAGGGAAGAACACTATGCATTATACTGCAAGATCATGCTATTCAACATATTTTTTCGTATGTTCGTGATTGGCTGTGTTTATTTGTATATCAATGATTTTTGTTCGAGTATTAATCTTCTATAAATCTAAACCAATTTTTTTTACTAAGTTGTAAGCACAAATTGTACTCATTCTGGGTCTGATTAAAGTGATTATGGTCCGGGGCAGGCAAGGATAACTCCGAATGCTAAAAGAAAAACAAAGATTGTGTTTACAATTGGACCTTCCACAAGCTCACGTGAAATGATATGGAAACTGGCAGAAGCTGGAATGAATGTGGCTCGTCTAAATATGTCCCACGGGGACCATGCATTGCACAAGAAAACCATTGATCTGGTGAAAGAATACAATGCTCAATTTTAGGATCAAGTTGTAGCCATAATGTTGGACACCAAGGTATGTTAGTTGTTGATGGACTATATTAATTGCATGTCCATCTTCTTCTTGAGTTTGTGCCTTATTGAACTTTATAGTGTGATTACAAATAACCAAGAATAACAATGTAATTGGTAATTGATGCTTTTATAATCTTTCTGTAGGGGCCAGAGGTTAGAAGTGGAGATGTGCCTCAACCATTCCTTCTTAAGGAGGGGCCAGAGTTCAATTTTACCATTAAAAGAGGAGTCAGCACAGAGAACACAGTTAGTGTAAACAATTATGGATGCCACTCAGTGGCACTTGGGTGGGGCATTTGCAAGTTCATGCTTAGCTTTTTGTCCTTTGTGATATGAAGGGTGTGGTGCAACTGTGGTGGGAATTTTAGTTAATTCATAAACTGAGTCAAAAAGTGAAGAAATTTCCATACAATGATAACAAATAATGATGATCAAAATTGTCTTCATTGTGCTGTTTACATGCAGATTTTTATAAATTATGATGTCCATACCTGGGTTCTGATAAAATTCTTGGTTGTTGTTAATCTTTATTTATATTTACTGGATTTTCTGTTCGGTTGCTAGCTGTTATGACCATTTGCCATAGAGCTTGCTTGCTTTGCAGCTGCAAGTCATCGGATTTGTGCCATTAGAAAGTTGATCTGAGTACTTGATTGTATATTGAACTGAGTACTTGATTGTGTATTCATATATGGCAACAAATTGAGTCTCTATTGGCCTCGGTCGTCTTAGAAGCAAAAAATTCTTTTACTGCATTTTCTGATATTCCTTATTAAATGACAAATTGTTACCATGTTCTGAATCAGAAAATTGGTTGTTTATACCTTTAAATGCCACTAACAGTGGTGTGCGTATGCATGAAAGGTGCTGACTGGATAAACTGGAGATATATACTCCCCAAAATGGTTGCTCTCAGACTTGAAATGTGTTTTCTCACTTGGCCACAAGTATTTAATCATTGCATGAAGCAATAGACCCGTTACCTTTGTGATACTCTTTTGAGGTTATTTGAATTAGTTTCCAATTGCAAAAGAAAGATTCACATAGTTTACTGGAGGACGGACTTATATGAAGCATTTACTTCATAAAGGAAGAAAAGGGACAAAGCCACATGTATTAAGTTGTTTATGGGGAAGAGTGCAACTCTACCATTGATAACAGGTTAATTAACTTCCATGTCAAAACTCTTTTAATATAAGATATATTCTGTTCCTTTATATTTTCAATTATATTTCTGTTGTTTGTGTTCATTTTCTCAGAAGATTTTTCAATTTCCAATCTTTGAATGCACTTGTGTCTTTTTAACAGACAAAGACTGGGAAGATATCAAGTTTGGGGTGGACAACCAAGTTGATTTCTATGCTGTTTCTTTTGTGAATGACGCAAAAGTTGTCCATGAGTTGAAAAATTATCTCAAAAGTAAAGTTTGTTGCTTCATTTTTGTTAGATTATTGAGGTTTAACAAAAGTTGCTAGGCTCCTTGCAGTACTTTTCTTCACAAAACTTTTCAAACCTCTTGTGCAGGCTGCAATGCAGATATTCATGTGATTGTAAAAATTGAAAGTGCTGACTCCATACCAAATCTTCATTCAATTGTTTCTGCATCTGATGGGATTAGTCTCAATATTCTTTACTAGTAGCCTTATAACCTGTTCATGCTTAATCTTTTTGGAGTGGTTTATGTTTCATATACTCAGATCAGAATGAATACCTTGCTTATGTTTGATTTATCTAAAGCAAATATTGTACATTTTTTTACAAGTTACTAAAGTAGTACATAAGACAAAGGAAAGATGCACAGGTCGTCCATCCCAAAATCATTTAGCCTAAAAAGGGAAAAAAAGTACAAAGGGCACTTTAATGGACACATATAATCCAACTAAAAATCACACAAAGCTCTTCACCCTGCCATAGTGCAAAATAGGCATCAGTTTTTAATTGACGAAAATGAATATTGTCTATTGGTATCTTTCTAAGTTTTGTGCTTGCAATTACTGATAGGCAATGGTAGCCCGTGGAGACCTTGGAGCTGAACTTCCAATTGAGGATGTCCCTTTATTACAGGTTAGTTTGATGGCAATGAGCAATATTCTTTCCATTTCAGACTAGTTTTATGTTATTCTTACACTCGAGCATTTAAATAGTCTGCATTCAACCCATTGATGAACATATGGGTTTCCTAGCTTGATCCACTTAGCCCATTTGGTGAATGGATTTATCAGATTGTTTATGCATTGGAGCAACAAAACATTTTCCCATTTGCAGTAGTCAGTGTTAAGGGGGATGCTATGAGGCCCATATAATGCCTTCTTTTTCGTTAGATGATCAGCATAAACATAGTAGTTTACCTTATTTGTATTGGATTTTTCTGGACCAAAAATAGGATGAGAAATAGAAATGACATAGGATGAGCATAAAACCTTCTCCCCATTTGGGTTAGTCGGTATAAGGGGAATGCTATCAGTGCCCTAAATTGTGCCATCTTTTTTTTCAGAAGATTCCTGCATACACATAATGTGTTACCTTATTTGTTTTGGATTTTTCAGGACCAAAGATAGATGAGAATTAAGGACATGACATACTTATGTTTAAACAGGAAGACATCATTAGAAGATGTCACAGCATGCAGAAGCCAGTGATTGTAGCCACAAACATGCTAGAAAGCATGATTAATCAGCCAACTCCTACAAGAGCAGAAGTTTCTGACATTTCAATTTCTGTTCGAGAAGGTGCTGATGCCATCATGCTTTCAGGAGAAACTGCCCATGGAAAGTAAGTTGCTGTGGTTCATTTTTTTGTGGCATCAACATACTCTTCTAGTTATTCTTCTTAAAATTGATCTTTTTTCTAAATTCTATGGTTGTTACATCAGAAATGATATAGTTGTCTGTAATTCTAAATCAATTCAAGGTACCCACTGAAAGCAGTTAAAGTACTGCATACTGTGGCTTTGAGGACTGAGTCTGTCAAGTATACCAATAAGCACGAGTCCTCCGGGCCATTCCAGCCGTAATAAGGTATGTGTTAACGATGATGTGGAATTAAGGTTAAAATTCAGAATGCTTGAATTTGGGTTGAAAGTGGTAAATATTATACCTCTTAAGCATCCGGAATTAGTGATTTTAGGCTCAGTTAGCAATAAAAGAAGTTTTTCTGTCTAATGCAGCAATTATTCTGAATTTTCGTAGTGACTTCCTTGTTATAATATATTTTTGGAAATCTGATTTGCCTGTGGGCTTCCTTTTGCAGAGCCATATGGGTGCCATGTTTGCTTTCCACGCCACCACAATGGCTAACACTCTTGCTACTCCCATAATTGTCTTCACCAGAACAGGGTCCATGGCTTTACTTTTAAGTCATTATCGGCCTTATTCAACAGTATTTGCCTTCACGAACGAGTAAGTCCAGACAGCAGAAAGGCATAAATAATCTACAAAAATATATGGGTTTAATTGCCAATAGGTTTGATTTTCTTGAATCATGGCCATCTATGTGGTTGAAGATGTGAATGTCCTACCAAACATTGTGATATCAAAATATGCACATAATCGAGCAAAAGCAAAAAAGAATGGATGAAATGGAAGAGTTCCTGTTAGGCGAAAATTTTTCCATTATCAGTTGTTTGGGATTCTTAAGTAATGGCCAGCCCTTTCTTTTGGGGACTCGGTACTGGCTTGGATAGGTTCCTGATCTAGTTCATAAGAAACTTACACTGAGCTAGATTCGAGAAAAGGCTTGTCATCTCAGGCAGGCCAACATAAAACTGTCAGGTGACTTGGTTATTGTTTTTCTTTAACAAAACATGTTGGTTCTGTTTGAATGTCAAATGAATTCTCACTCAAATTTGATTTTGGTGAAAAACATTTGCTCCACAACCACCACTAGTGTATTTCCTTTAATGGAGAGATAGATCTTATAAGATTTTATGACACATGTTCATGTTTTGTCAGGGAAAGGGTAAAGCAGAGGCTGGCTCTTTATCATGGTGTGATGCCTATATATATGCAGTTTTCAGATGATGCAGAGGAGACCTTTGCTCGAGCTTTAAAACTTCTGTTGGTTTGTGAATCCTCTGCAATGTGTTTTCTTGTTTCACCATTACTCTGTTGGTAATTTGTTTTTTTTTTCTTTTGAACATGCTTCAGAGTAAGAGTTTATTGTAGGAGGGAGAGCACGGCACCCTTGTCCAGAGTGTAGCACAACCAATCTGGCGTCGAGAATCTACTCACCACATTCAAGTTCGTAAGATCTAAGGTTGATCTATGTACTTTTAGTAGCTAATATATCACATGGCTCAACCTATATCCTATTTGTTCTGAAAAGAAAAATTTTTCTAGACTATTTTTATATTTTGAAAATATAGATTGAGCTATTATTAGACCCTTCTGGAACAATACCCTTTAGTGTTCTAGAGGACAAATTTTTTGCTTAGTTTTATGTTTTAAAAATTGGTAAGGACCGATCTTTGCTCGCCAGCCTTAATTAAATCGGTTTATTTATGACTTATGGAATTAGGTAAGAAAAGGCCACTGAGGAGTGCATAGAGCTCGCTCGAGCAGTCTTTCAATGTTGCTTGAGTGGTGTGCTTATGGAGAAGTTCACGAATATGAGGTTTTTTATTTAATAAAATTATTCTTATTCCGGACTTAAAAGTAGAGTCTTTCTCACAGTTAGATTGAGCCTCTTGTGAGATTTGTAAGAGAGAATATGCTTTTTTTACCTTAAGAGTTTTCACCACTAACCTACATCCCTAAATTGAAAGGCTATAGCTCGAGATTCTATTTAATTTCACAATTTGGTGTTGAAGGTATTGATGATTTAGAAATAAATTTATTGGTGTGTGCATACTGAGAATTATTGACGTGCCTATGATTATTCAAGGCTTAGACAGAGAGGTCCAAGTGAAGCTAAGGTAGACGTCGAAGGAGGGTCTTTGGCGGATAGACAATAAGGAAATGAGCATCTAGTCATAATATTGGTTGAAGTATAATTTTCGAGTACCTGTATGTTGACTTAGTGATTAGTTAATTAGGTTTTGGTGAATCGAGAAAGTTTCTCTCGATTTTCCCAGAGGAGGGTTTCTTCATATTCGTTTGTTGTTTTTATTTCATTCAACAATTTCTAATGACACCAGTAGTGCTTTCCACCGCAAATGTCCCGTTCTTGGTAATTTGCATCACCGAGAATAATTATAAATGAACCGCTTTTTTTGTTCCAACTAGATTTTACAAAAGATTAGTGCAAATAATTTTTAGTTTCATATCTGTGTCCCCACTCCCCAATAATTATGATGGTTGGTAAACCGTATTTCTTGTTCAGACTATATTTAAGAGAGCAAGACAAATTTGGTATAGAATTGAAATTTATAATTTTTTTAACGGTTATATTATAATATTTTAAAGTATAAGTTATAACTATAAAGAGTACGATCGATCATAAAATATTATAAACAATGATAAAAGTTACAACTTTTAAAGCTAAACTTACAACTAACGAGGACATATTCATGATCGATCATGAATTATATCAAGAAGTTGTAATTTTTTCTAAAAAAATAGTAATTTTTAGTATAGTACCGAATTATTTTTCGATAATAGAATTAAGTAGAAGGAAAATGCTACATGGAATGACTTTTCTCGACCTGTCTTTTCGTTTTCCATCTACTCTTGCCTTTGATTAATATCCTCCAACCCAAAGAGGAACTGTGTTTGCCATCTTCCAACTACAAATAATATAGCCAGCCATAGTCTTCACACTTGTATCCAAACAATATCAACATTTCTGAAATGGAAACCATGAAGCCTCACATAATCTCAAAAACAACCATCAAGCCCTCTTCCCCTACCCCAAATCACCTAACTGCTTACAATCTTTCATCTTTGGATCAGCTATCCCCTCACATTTATATGCCCGTGGTTCTCTTCTACCCTAGTGTTGGAAGCCATAGCCAATCCAACGTCCCAGATGACATTTTTTCTAGGCTCAAGAACTCTCTCTCTAAAACCCTGGCTCAATACTACCCATTTGCCGGAAGGCTCTCAGACACCAGCTCCATGATCAATTGTAACGACGAGGGAGTCGATTTTTTCGAAGCTCGAATGGATTGCAAGCTATCCGACATTTTGAAACAACCCGAGCCTCAGACACTTGATCTATTCTACCCAAGTGGCATATTGTGGAATGACTCCTATGAGGGTAGTCTAGTGGTCATTCAGGTTACAATTTTCAGCTGTGGAGGCATTGCAATTGGTGTTTGTATTTTGCACAGGATTGGCGATGGGTGTACCATAAACGCCTTCATTAAGGACTGGGCAGCCACCACAATTCAGTCCCATGATCATCCAGTGTCTCCTGTGTTCATTTCATCTTCGATTTTATGGCATAATGATCCACCAGTACTCTCAGATAAGCTTGAGCAAGGGAATTGTATCACGAGACGATTCGTGTTCAGTGCTTCCAAGCTAGCCAATCTCAAGAACATGGTGAAAAACTCAGAATTAGATAATCCCAGTCGGGTTGAATGTGTCAGTGCACTGATTTACAAATGTGCTATGGCAGCGTCAAGTGCAATATCAGGTTCATCCAGGCCATCTATCTTGATCCAGCCAGTGAATTTACGCCCGAGAATCGTCCCACCATTGCCTGAAAATTCTGTTGGAAACTTTTCGTGGTTCTTTTCAATCATGGCTAGAGATGAAAGTGACCAGAAGTTAGATAAACTAGTGAGTGCCTTGAGGAATGGAATTGCACAACTTTTTGATAAGTACACGAAGAATCGAACAGCGAATGAATGTTACTCACTGATATGTGAGTCTATCAAAGAGTCAAGAAAGGCATTGAGCAATAGAAGTGGTGTTCATGTTTATAAATGTAGCAGTTTGTGTAGGTACCCATTTAATAAAATAAATTTTGGGCGTGGAAAGCCAGTATGGGTGGGTACTTCTAGCAGTTTGATCAAGGATACATTTCATTTGGTGGATGCTCTGGAAGAGGGTGGTATAGAAGCTTTGGTGACTCTGGAAGAGAAAGAAATGGCCATTTTCGAACGCGATCAAGAGCTTCTTGCGTTTGCTTATTTGAATCCTAGAGCTTTAGAGAATGTATGTGTGCCTGTTGATGTTTGATCAGGGTTCCCCGGGCGGGGGGGGGGGGGTGTTTCGACTCCTCTACTATTAATTTTTAACAGAAGAGCTGTTGTTGATTAAAACGATGTTGTTCTATTTAACAAAACGACATCGTTTTCCACCAAAACAATACTGTTTTAATCGACAACACTTCTTGTGCTAATTTTCTAATAGTTGAGGATCCTCACCCGATCTTCGGATAGTGAAGAAGCAGAATAAGGTGTGAAGGGACTTGGCCCAAAATGCCATTTCAAACTATATATGGAAGTGATAATTTCATGTTTTGTTTGATAAAAGTAATGTAACAAGTTATAAATCTTGAATGATTAGTATTTTTTTTTTNCGCCTTCATTAAGGACTGGGCAGCCACCACAATTCAGTCCCATGATCATCCAGTGTCTCCTGTGTTCATTTCATCTTCGATTTTATGGCATAATGATCCACCAGTACTCTCAGATAAGCTTGAGCAAGGGAATTGTATCACGAGACGATTCGTGTTCAGTGCTTCCAAGCTAGCCAATCTCAAGAACATGGTGAAAAACTCAGAATTAGATAATCCCAGTCGGGTTGAATGTGTCAGTGCACTGATTTACAAATGTGCTATGGCAGCGTCAAGTGCAATATCAGGTTCATCCAGGCCATCTATCTTGATCCAGCCAGTGAATTTACGCCCGAGAATCGTCCCACCATTGCCTGAAAATTCTGTTGGAAACTTTTCGTGGTTCTTTTCAATCATGGCTAGAGATGAAAGTGACCAGAAGTTAGATAAACTAGTGAGTGCCTTGAGGAATGGAATTGCACAACTTTTTGATAAGTACACGAAGAATCGAACAGCGAATGAATGTTACTCACTGATATGTGAGTCTATCAAAGAGTCAAGAAAGGCATTGAGCAATAGAAGTGGTGTTCATGTTTATAAATGTAGCAGTTTGTGTAGGTACCCATTTAATAAAATAAATTTTGGGCGTGGAAAGCCAGTATGGGTGGGTACTTCTAGCAGTTTGATCAAGGATACATTTCATTTGGTGGATGCTCTGGAAGAGGGTGGTATAGAAGCTTTGGTGACTCTGGAAGAGAAAGAAATGGCCATTTTCGAACGCGATCAAGAGCTTCTTGCGTTTGCTTATTTGAATCCTAGAGCTTTAGAGAATGTATGTGTGCCTGTTGATGTTTGATCAGGGTTCCCCGGGCGGGGGGGGGGGGGTGTTTCGACTCCTCTACTATTAATTTTTAACAGAAGAGCTGTTGTTGATTAAAACGATGTTGTTCTATTTAACAAAACGACATCGTTTTCCACCAAAACAATACTGTTTTAATCGACAACACTTCTTGTGCTAATTTTCTAATAGTTGAGGATCCTCACCCGATCTTCGGATAGTGAAGAAGCAGAATAAGGTGTGAAGGGACTTGGCCCAAAATGCCATTTCAAACTATATATGGAAGTGATAATTTCATGTTTTGTTTGATAAAAGTAATGTAACAAGTTATAAATCTTGAATGATTAGTATTTTTTTTTTCCATATTTTCAAGGCAAATTGACATATCATAGATAAAAAATCAATGTCATTGGAATATTTTTGAAATTAATACAAAACCACCATAAGATTAGCAATAAATTGGATGACAAATGAATTTATGCCTTTGGTCCAATAGTTTATTGACGTAGAACAAGTGGCTGTTGATTACTTGGAGTAGGAAGACTGTCGTGCGTCCAAGTAAGGGCAGAGGTAGCATGGTCCAGGGTGGGCAAGCGCCCCCTTCAAAAAATTATAGAGTGCACATTGAATTTCATAATCGATCAAAAGAGTTATAAATACCAAAGTGATAACATGATTGTATATATAAAGAATAATAAAGTTATTATGTAACGTTTTTAATATATGAAAATTTATCGACGTCAATTTTAAATAATTTTAATTAGCCAATATTTTGCAAAAAAAAAAAATTTTGTCGTTCGTATATATTAGGCTTACCAAATTTTGACATGTTGTGTTTGATGAACTTTTAAGTATTAAATATGATGTAATTAAATAAATTATTGTCCTATTTCTATCAATTATAAGAAAAAAAAAATAATTTATTGAAATATTCGTGTCTATCATAACAGAATTTTTTGGCTTCGTCCCTGCGTACAAGGCCGAAAGAAAAACAAAAAGGTGAAAATGAGGCAAAATGACTTGGATACAGAATTGATTGAGATAGTGGTGTTTGATCCGAATCGGGCCAATGATCAAGACTTATTGGTTTGCCATGAGCTCTTTTAGTTTTGAACCGAATTCTATCGTTTAGGCCTTGAAACTCCATTTTCTCTGTTTTAGGAAAAAATTTAGAAATGAATAATAAATCATAAGAGATTCTGAATTCAATACCTTCAGTTTTGCTTAGACTCCAGATGACACGTGTTTTATTTTATTAATTAGTTCGATTGTAATTTTTTATTTTTGGTAATTTTCGTTTAATTAGGGATTTTATGGGGACGTTTAAGCTTTAGGCCATTCCTTTATGTAGTAAGAATTATTCAATGAATAATAGACTTTTTTAGATATATTCTCTTATTTATTTGTCTGTGGAATCAGAGTGTGTGTTCTTTACACTTAGAATCGTATTGTTCGTTGTGTTCCTTTATTTTGCTACCTTATTTATGAGGTCCATAGCGTCCTACAATTACTACAGATGGTCCCTCCACAGGTGCACAATCGGGTTTGCGTCTTAAGCGTTTATTGTGAATGAGTAGTGCGGTGATAATCGATCAAGAAAAGAAAATTAAGTACAACAAACATAAAGAGTTGAGTAGTTTGGTAGAACTCTATATACCTTACCTTACCTACTTCGAGGGCAACTGTTTTTCATTATAGAGAATTTGATAGTGTATTCCATTGACACGTCTCATTCGTTGTTTATTCACAAAATTATAAAGTATGGTGTGGAGTTTGTCACGATCCACGAACCCTCACCACATTATTCGACTCTAGCAAACAACATTAATGTGGTGGCCATTGCTTCATTTGTCTACTCAGCTAATCTACAGTGCCCTACTGGAATTAATGACTTTTATCATAGGAAGTTCATCTAGTGGAGAATGTGCATGGTATGAAACTTTCTTGTGCATTTTTTTGACCAAACTGGCCATGTTGAAACTCAGGTAAAGAAGTGTATCTCAAATAGGTTATCCGTAATCGTGACTCAATTTTTTATTCGAATTTTAATAAAAAAATTAATTTTATATAAAACATTCAAATGAAAAAGCTCATATTTTTTATACATCAACAAATAAAAAAAATTCAAACATCAAAGGAACTCAGAAAGGCTCAAAGAAGATCACTAATAATGTGGTTTCATTAGTATTATTGGATCAATACAAGTTTTAATGTTTAATGTGGTCTACAGTCAATTCACAAATCATAGTGAATTCAGTTAATAAATTAAGTTCAAATAACATTGCTCATACAAATGAAGCATCTGAAAGTGTTGCATTTTTTTGTCGATTGGAGCAGCAAGTGGTGGTTGAGGGTGGTCCAAATCTAGTAGGAAAGAGGTAAAGTGACGGTGTCACCTTAGCGTGTTAAATTCATTCAAAATTTTCTTGATTGTGCGAACCCGGATAGAATAAAAGACTATAAACCAGAGATAAGATACTTTACTAACTCTGTTGATTTTAAAGCATATCAAAGCAATTGAGAAAAAGAAAAATCACCTTCGCAAAATTGCCCAGTAGCTCCAACTAAGTTTCAAACTTATCCACATGTGTACTGCCTCATAAAGGCAACATGGAGGTTGTTGGTCTATGCCATTCAAATAAACTTTGAAATAAATAGCCCAATTTTGTTGATGATTCTATTAAGAGCAATGCTATTGAAACATAATTTGGAGCATAATAAATTGTTACCAATAATATGATAATGAATTTATTTAATGCTGCAATGTGACTCTTCATTACATACATTTCAATATCACTTCATTGGTAATAACTCATTATGTCTCAACAGCATTAGTCCTCTATTAAATGCTGCGCTGCAAAAGCTTTTACATAAATTAGAAACTTAGAATTTGGACATTAATATATTATTAATGTGAACTCATGCATGGATCCAAAATCGCCACGAATACGTAAGCTTGGCAGTTGTCCCATCGCCAATACTCATTGATAAACCGCCTTTTGAGTTCGAACTAATTTTTCAAAGGGTTAATATGGCTTAGGATTGATAATTTATCGTGTTATAAATTTATTGTGTCTAAATCACTACCAAAACATATTGCGTCAAACAAATTTTTTTTTTTTTTTGGGTGATAATTAATTGCTGTAACAACTTTTATTAGTACAAAAGAAAAACTAAAAAATAAGACAAATCCAAGGGCGTCCAAGAAAAATTCGGTTTTATTGGAAACATTACAAACGGTTTAAGAGCTTTTTAGGTTTTAATTTTTTTATTTTACTTTACAAACTTGTGTTTTGCACCCAAACAAGCCAACTTCGAACGGGCCTAATATATGAATGGAATGACTATTGTTATTATTTGGACAAGACTAATGTTATGAGGATCTAATCACGGATCTAATTCAATACCATTATTATATTAGTTATAAGATTCAATGTTAGATGAAATTCACTTTTGATCTAATGATTGAATTGAATGAAGTTCTCAAATTAAATCTAAATATGATTTTCCTTTGGACAATGCTCTCATTGAAATGAACTTAGAACTAACAAAATATTGGTAAATGAGTATGTTTCTCAATCAATTTAGGCCCGATAATTCTCAATATAACCCATCAATCCGATTAAAAATTGACAAAAACACTAATGAGTTTAGTTTTAATAGGTTTGAGTCTCGAGAGTCACCCAAGTCCCAATCCCATCAAAATCCATACCCGCAAACACACTCATCAGAGTTCGTCACCACATGCATCTTTTTTCGTCACCAAACTCGACGGTTTTTAATATGACATTACATCAGAGTTTGATTGTTTGTAAATGTCGAATATGTGGTTTGAGTTGGGGGTGTGATCACTTGAGTTATTCTTGGAGAATTAATTTTGACAAATACATTTGAAAACAAAGTAATATTACGTGAACTTAAAATTTAAACTTGATAATCATAATTATTGAATAGATCGTAAGTCTCAATATATACTGTGCGTAACATTACTCTCGAAAACTATACGAAACCGACACTAGTTGTAGTTGTTTAAAGCAAACCCACTTGGTAGGTTCTGGTGTCTTCTAGTGGAGAATAGTAAATCAACGGAAAGCTTTTCAAACAATTCAAAGCTATCTATCACATTGATAATGATTAATTGGATAGATCCAACAGTTTTGTCCGAGAGAGTTGCACTGGTGGTCGTATTGTACAAACACAGAAACATCTATAAATCCAGCCACAATTAACAGCTTAGAGAAGTGTCAATAACCCTGTGGCTCTTAATAGTAGTCTAAAACCAGGTTTGGCTTTCACTGCAACTTTTTCTGAAAATGGAGTACGATTTGGGGTGGGTGGTTTTCACAGCATTGTTGGGTGGTATTGTTGGGATATATGGTTTCCTAAAGAAAGCAAATGAGTGGTTTTATGTTAGCAGTTTGGGTGAAAAGCAGAAGACACTCCCTCCAGGTGACATGGGTTGGCCTTTCATTGGTAATATCTTGTCTTTCCTCAGAGCTTTTAAGAATGGTGATCCTGATTCTTTCATCGCCAGTTTTGCCACCAGGTCTCTCTCTCTCTCTCTCTCTGTATATATATATGTGTGTGTGTGTGTGTGTGATATTTGTGAATACATTTGTTGTCATCATTTGATTGCTGGCATCCAAAGGTCTTGATTTTTAAGGGAAAAATGAAATGAATCAGTAATTAAATTAATATTTTGATGTTTTAAAATTTTTAAGATATTTTATTATATTTTGAATATTTTTAAAAAATAAATTCTTAAACTTTTGATGTAGTTTTATTCTATTTTTGAAATATCTCTAAAATATTCATATTTTTAAAGGGACCGAAACAATGGTCTAAAAATATTCTTATTTAAAAAAAATGGTGGGATAAAGGAGAGCGTCCAAAGACCACTCCAATTAATCCTCACTAATAGAATCGTGAGGTTCTTGACGGCGCCTATTACTGAAGAATGAATTTATCTAAACTAGCGTTACGATGGACCATCAAATTCCAACGTCAACTTAAAAATTTAAACCTTCAATTTTTTGTGCGAGACGTTCGACCCGTCGTCTACGTGACCACCCCATTCGGTGGTGTAAACTGTAAAGAGATGCAATTCACTTCATCTGGAATGTGACAGTTTTTTTTTTTTTGACCTTTTTCTCATTGCGAAAAGAGATTTTTATATGATCATAGTGTGAAATTCTTTGTTGTTTCACTTGGAAAATATGTATAGATTCGGGCAGGCTCGGGTATACAGAGCCTTCATGTTTGGAAACCCTACAATCATAGTTACGACGCCTGAGACGTGCCGGAAAGTACTGATGGATGATGAACACTTTGGCCCTGGTTGGCCTAAATCAGTCACAGCACTATTTGGAAAGAAAGCACTTCATGGAGTCTCCATTCAAGAACACAAGCGTCTTCTTCGCCTAACAGCTGCTCCGATCAAAGGCCATGAAGCATTATCAGTGTACCTTGATTATATCAAACACATTGCGAAAACTTCATTCGATGAATGGGCTAGTATGGAGCAGCCAATCGAGTTCATAACAGAGATGAGGAAGATTACTTTCAAGGTGATAATGACCATTTTTATGAGCAGTGAAGTTGATCCTAGATCAATGAAGGCCATGGAAAAGGAGTATACTCAGCTATGCCATGGACATAAGGCCATGACCATTAATCTCCCTGGGTTTGCTTACCACAGGGCAATCAAGGTGAGATGGAGATATTCTTACCTGAATTGTGGGTTTCCCTTTCTAGACGAGGTTTTACCCCCTTTATCATTGAGTCGTTATTTGACCTCATTAATTTGATATTATGAAACATGAATATTTCGTTGAGTATTTGTATCGAATATCATATAAAATAAAATATTCGTCAAATATTTAATAATATGTATCCAATACGCATTATTCGTATCCGATAATTAATAAAATATGTAAATATTTTGCATATACTTTTAAACATGGAGCAAGATATATAATTTTTAATTTTAATCTATACCCTCTTATTTTCAGTTCACATACAATATAAAATATCAATAAAATTTCATCTGATTTTGAAGACAAGAGTGTTTTTTTAAGTATTATATAATATTACATGGCAAGAGAGTACAAACAAATGAGTTCAATACTAATGTTACCCTCTTAATTTTAATTACTAATGTTAAAAAATTATTGAAAATTAAAAATTTTAAGTCGTTAAATAGTAATAAAATATAAAATATATTTTATTATAAACATATCCTAGTTGTACCCATATCTGTTTTTTTTTTTTAAAAATTTTATGGTATCACCATAACTGTATTGTAATACACGTATCACATATCCATATCTATGCTTCCTAGATTTGATGTTTCGTATGGTATTGAATTGGTCCCTTAGATTTTTCTTAAAGAATTTGATAAAAACAATTTTTTTTTTTTTTTTTGCGGTGATGGTTATATTTTCTTTCGTTTTCTTATACATGTGGTATCAGGCACGGAAAAATTTGATAAAATTATTTCAAGCTGTTGTGGATGAACGAAGGACGATGATAAAGAGTAATCAATCAAAGGCAAAGAAAGATATGTTGGATTTAATGATCGAAACTGAAGATGATGATGGTAGGAAACTGAGTGATGAGGAGATCATAGACTTGATAATTGCGTACTTGTTCGCTGGTCACGAGTCTTCTGCTCATGCTGCGACATGGACAATTATCTTCCTACAGAAGCATCCACAATTCTTCAAAACTGCCAAGGTATGTTGAAACATAATTAATATGGATCTACCCACTTATTAATCCTTAAAAAAATTAATTTCCATATCATTAGTACTATCATATTCTTGGGATGCTAGTAGGTAGGAGTGTTCAAAATTCCGCACATCCGACCCGCGTGAATGTTTATTTTTTTTAAAAATTAATTTGTGTATTACAAAACAACATCATTTTGTTTGTCATAAAACAAATTCATTTGCGAAGTATATGACTTGTGATTGTTGTTAATCAGATTTATTGGGTTGGTTTGCATATTTTTATATTATATTTTAATAGTATAGTTGTAAAAATAATTCAAAAATTTGGTAATTGAGTTGTTAAAATGACACAAAAATTCATAACTTAAAATTTAAAAATTTGTGAAGCATTCCGTATTCTTACACGACCTTCCTACCAATTTTTTGAATGGAATTCGGCTCGGAACATTACCCTCAATTGGGTATAGGAGCAGTCTAAAAATTGTCGTTAACAACTCATTGACTCAGAACATGGAATCTAAAAATTCTTACCCACCGGCTCTAGTGAACATCTCTACAAGTAGGAAGGGTTGGTGGGCTGGGCCAATTAAGAGGTCTATCGGACTCAAGTCGAGTTCTCAAACTCCAAATTGGAGCCCAATTTAATCTTAAATTCAAAATAATATTTTCAACCTAGGTAGTCTAAAAATTCAAACTCTAGCTGTACTCAGGTTATGCTACTCAGTTTGAAATTTTGGTGCAATTCAATTTGTTTTATTGGTTACACAATTCAAGCCAAAGTTTGGATTCAATTCTGAATAACATTAATTTACCCATTTGGGTTATGTTCGGATTGCATCCAGAAATGAGACCCCTACTGAATACTGGTCGAATTTTAGTCGGGGATTGGACTTTCTTTGCTCAATCCATACCCACGTATTGAAAATCTCTAAGTACCGAATACTCTAAGTTGAGCTCGGGTTGACCCTCCTAAATTGCTCCCTATGGCATACGTATCAGTTCTATTGTGAACTCAGAGGTCATGTAAAGCCCATTCTACATTCCAAAGTCACACTCTTAAACTTAGAACTTGATTAATTCAAGCTTTTTTTTATCACTAAAGTTGGGTTTCATTTCTCCAGGAAGAGCAGGAGGAGATCATAAGAAGAAGACCACCCACAGAAACTGGGCTTAGCCTTAAGGAAATTAGACAAATGGAATACCTCTCTAAAGTAAGTCTATTCTAATTTGGAGCTACCTTCGACAAATTTTATACTTGTGGCATACAATTACTACACTAAAGTCAGATAGTGTAAAAGAAGTTGGTTTTATTTTTTTCAATGGTCAGCGGTGTACAAATCAACTAACGCTCACTTTGATTAATCCCCGATTTGGTCAAAAAAGCTGGTTTTCAAATAACAAAACAATATATCTTTCACCATTACAGGTGATTGATGAAACACTCCGCTTGGCTAACCTCTCTTTCGTACTTTTTCGGGAGGCAAGGACCGATGTTAGCATCAATGGTTAGTTATTTATAAATAATTTTATTCTTCTACTTTTTTATTCTTCTTTTCTATTTTGATATGTTGGAGCAAAATTTTAATGATGTTTCAGGTTACAACATACCTAAGGGATGGAAGGTTTTGGCTTGGATTCGACATATCCATATGAATCCTGAAATTTACCCAAACCCGAGAGAATTTAATCCGTCGAGATGGGATGTAAGTAAATTGTACACTTTTTTTTTTCCCAGAAAGACAGATGTATTTGTATGGCTTATGCATTAATGTTTTCTTTTTAGGGCGAATTACATTTTGCACCCTAAAAAAAAAAAAATCACTTTACACTCTTAAAAATTAAATTTCTCACGGTGCATCTTTAATGTATGAAAAATATTATAATATGACCATTCTTTTAATATTCGTTACTCATTCCGTCAACTTCAATAGAATGAGTTTTTACAGAATAAGCAACAAAAAGATTATTTTGTAACATTTTTAATACATTGAAAGTACAAAATCAAAAAATTTAAAATTTTCAAGATGCAAGTTGAGATTCTCCCTTCTGAAATTCGAGTATTTATATCAGGTGTATGTATACATTTTGAGCATAAAAATGGGTTTTCATTCCAATGGCTGAACTTATTGTAGGATCGTAGGACCAAACCAGGAGGATACATTCCCTTTGGAGCAGGAAGTAGGTTATGCCCTGGAGCAGATTTGGCTAAGCTTGAAGTTTCGGTGTTTCTTCATTATTTTCTCCTTGACTACAAGTGAGTGCAATTCTCTCATGATGTTATGGTTTTTTTATTTTTATTTTCCTTTTTTGTCGCATTCCAAAAACAAATTAAAAAAATGAATTAGTGCCCGTAATCGAAAAAACAATTATTCAAGAGAAATAAAGGCTTAATTGACCCATCAAGTTGCAGTTTTAATGTGAATGTTTTTACATGGGTGCTGTATCACTATAACAAAAATTATTTTTAGTGATGACTATAAAAATCATCGCAAAAGTTAAGTTGCATTTTTAGCGAGTTTTCTTTTTTGTATTCCTTACGAAAAATCATTTGGCTTTTTCTGTTACTTTTGGCGATGATTTTATTTGACATTGCTGACTACTTTCCTAAACGAGGCTAAATGACAACAACAATTTTATTGTTCGTCGCTAATACCTTTTGCAACGAAAAAAATATTGTCAACAAGGAAAATTAAATTTTTTTACTGTCTTTATATGATTTTGTTGATGATTATGTGCAAAAATTTGTCATTTCAGGCTTGAGCTACTCAATCCAGGGTGTGGGGTAACATACTTACCAATACCAAGACCATCAGATAATTGTTTGGCAAGAATCACGAAGATCTCGAAATCAACGGCATAAAATACACAACGTATTACTTTTCGAAAAGAAAAGGATAGTGTAAAATTAATGTATTGCAACTTATCAATGCTTACCCCCCTACCCTACCCCATTCTCAGCGTAATTCAAACTTATCAACTTATCCTTTTTCATGTTTATAAGTTATTTATTATTTGTAATGATAATGTTTGTGATGGTTATATAAGTTATTTTTGGTTGTTGGATTTGCTTTTTTGCTTAATTTCTTGACGAAATGATTTTGGCATAATGGGTCACTTTTTTTTTTTTTTTTCAATTATAGGAGGGTGAAAAATTTAATAACGGGACGATGATCGTTAGTCTAATTACTAACCCCGTAAAAAGTCAATGACAAAAAAAGAAAACATGAGAAAACGGAAATCAAATCAGAGTGACTTAAGACCCGTATCATATCCCCTTAGTATAAATCGAATATGAAGGGTTATGAACGAACCAAGTGGCTTGCTTGAGAACCACTCAAACAATTGGGTAGCATATTATGAATTTTTTTTAAGAATGAAATGGTGAGAATCTGACATGTTGACTAATGATATGTGTTCGATTGGATGAATGAAAAGATAAAAAGATAAAAATATGAGTGATACATTTTTTAATTTTTATAAAAAGAATTTCATTTTCTCCTGTGTTCGGAAAAATGAATGAAAAATAGAAATGATTGATTTTTTTTTTTGTGTGTTTAGTATAGATAAAAAAGTGAAAGGAAGAAAATAAAATAAAGATACAAATATTTTACTATTGTATATGTATATCAAATTAATGTGTATATAATTTGTAACAATGTCTTATTTATTCTTTAAACTTTTCAAAATAGTTTTGAAATGTTTATAAATTTATAATTTTTTAAAATTTGCCCACACTAAAAATTTGTATAAATTTATTGCTACTCCTATATTTCAATAACATTTTTGGGTCTAAAAATCTAAACCAGTTAAATGACATAATAATATGCAAAGTGATGTTTTCTTAAAAAATAAATTGAAGAGTTTTAATTAGAATAATATTATTTTAACATCTCCATTGTCACTTCATTAGATAAATAATTTATAACACTATTCTTAATGGGCCCAAGAAAACTTAAAAGCAGCGGTTAAAATAAGAGAAAAATCGGAGAAAAACTGCCTAAAGAAGCCAGTATAACTGCTGATGAAGAAATGCCATAAAAGAGGCATTGATTGCAAAGGAGATGATACAATCAAACTCATCATGGTTCTTTTCAATCATGGCTAGAGATGAAAGTGACCAGAAGTTAGATAAACTAGTGAGTGCTTTAAGGAATGGAATTGCACAACTTTTTGATAAGTACACAAAAAATCGAACAGTGAATGAATGTTACTCACTGATATGTGAGTCTATCAAAGAGGCAAGAAAGGTACTGAGCAATAGAAGTGGTGTTCATGTTTATAAATGTAGCAGTTTGTGTAGGTACCCATTCAATCAAATAAATTTTGGGTGGGGAAAGCCAATATGGGTGGGTACTAATAGTTGTTTGATCAAGGATACTTTTCTTTTGATAGATGCTCTGGAAGAGGGTGGCATAGAAGCTTTGGTGACTCTAGAAGAGACAGAAATGACCATTTTTTAACGCGACGAAGAGCTTCTTGCGTTTGCTTCTTTGAATTCCTAGAGTTTTAGAGTATGAATGTGTACCTGTTTATGTTTGATTAGAGTTAGTCTTGGTCTTGGGGGGTCCGGCTCCTATTCACCAAAACAGTATTGCTATAATCAACAGTACATCTGGTGTTAATTTTCTAACAATTGAGCGGGTTTGGACCGGTGAAAAAGCAGAATAAGTTGTGAAAGGATTTTGCCCAAAATACCATTTCAAACTAATGGAAGTGATAATTTGATGTTTTGTTTGATAAAAGTAATGTAACAAAGTTATAAATTTTGAGTGATTACTATTTTTTTTTCATATTTCCAAGACAAATTGACATATCATAGATTAAAAATTCAATATCATTGGAATATTTCTGAAATTAATACAAAATCACCATAAGACTGGCAATAAATTAGATAACAAATGAATTTACGCCTCTGGTCCAATAGTTTGTTGTTGTTATTTTTTGAGTTTAAAATTTGAAAAAGTTACCCCCTCGAAAACATACAATTGCCTTCTTATATCAAGTTTCCCGAGCATTGGCGGATCATTGAACAGAAATGTCACACATGACAAAAACAATATTTAATTAAGACAGATAAAAAAACAAAATACAAAAATATCACTGACCACTTCAAAAGATACACACAAATTTTTATATGGTAATGCAGGAGGTACATCAAACCACTTCATAATATATCAATGCAGGAAGTACAAATTTGTTTAATATTGCGTCAACGGAAACACGAAGAAATTACCGTCTTCAAGTGTAAAAACCCAAAAACATTTTGAATCCACCAGGGCGGTCCAAGCTAATTTGGGGTCCTAGGCGAAAATGTTATATGAGACCGTATAAATATTTATTCAGTAATAATAGTAATATTAAAAACTTATTAACATATGTTTATTTATAAATTATTTGTTTTGTGTTTTGAGATATAACATACTAATTCAAATTTTACAAATAAAAATTATGTTAATCGAAGTCAAATACGGAGATCAAATATAATACTACATACTATTTGTCGAAGATAAAAGAGAAACATAATTGAAAATTAGGTTGACTAGTAAAATAATTTTTTTATTAATGTATATAAAATAGGAATTTATACAAGTTGAATAGTTCTAAAATAAATGAAATATTGTTAGATATCATAGAGAAAAAGAGTAATTTTTAAATAAAAAATTTTAGTAAGACAACTATGGTTAATCAATCTAAGATAGCTAGTGTATTATTTCTACTCACTTTATTTTATAGTCATCTTGTGTATCGTAACCAAAATTATTAAAAAATGATTTCAAATTTAACTTATACAAATATAAAATTATTATTCGTATCTATTATACGATAAACAATTAATTTTAATAAAAAGACTGCAAAGTGATAATACATATAATATAAATATCAGATGAGATAAAAAAATAAGCTGAACTTTAGGGCCCTAAATTTCTTTAAAAGAGGTTCTAAAAATTTTACAATAATGCTAGTTGCACTTAATTTGAGGATTAAGTACATTAGACAAATAATAATTTTTGTTTAAACTTAACATTCACTATTAATTCAATAATTAAAATATATTAAATATTTAAATTATATTCTAAAATAATCATTATTTTTTTTTGGGGCTCTAAATTTTTCTTTCAATTTTGAGCCCCAGGCAATGGCCTACAGGTAGGGCCAGCACTGGAATCCACAAAGTAAAGAAAGAGAATAACTCTTAAAATATTATATTATTGATTGATTAACTATATAAAATTGTAATACATAAGAAAATTTATTGGAAAACTCAAAACCTTAAGGCTTTCAAAACGAAAACAAATCTCTAGTATTAGGAAAGTTACCAAAAAACAAAACACATATCTAATGATTTAGGAAAATTGACATGGTTTAGGCAACGAATCACTCTAGCATGTTCCTAATTAAACTCTTGTTCTAAATAAATAAATAAAAATAATAAAAATAAAATAAAATATAAAACTGTTCTACATTAGACCCTCCTCTCTTAAAAAAATCGTGCTCGAGTTTCTATGGCTTGAAAAAACTCGATGTGTTAGCGTTTAACTGCATCAACTTTGTACTTCAAACTAAATTTTCTAAGCACACACTTGCATGAATCTGCTATGCTTTCAAGAATTGATAAAATAATCTCTCATTCAACAACCTTAGATAACTGTAAGATGGCCTTAAGAATTTCTTGACAAACATCTAGAAAGTCAAAATTATCAAGGTTCAATAAAAATTAAAAATTTGTAAAATTGAAAAGATGTGGACCAATGGATTCTTTCTCATTCTGCTCAACTCCATGAAATTCATCATGAATTTCAAGTTTATTGTCCTCGGTAACTGTATTGACAAATAAAAATTTGTCATTTTTATTTTTATCACTACGGCCAACAATTTCAAATTTCTTGTCTTTTGGTTATGTAGACTTTGTATCTGTCACGCCTTGATTTTTCCCAAGCAATAATCAGGCGTTAAAAAGAAATAAAATTACATTTAATTCATAATAATCTTCCTTATATTATTCTTAATACTTTTTTCGTACGATTACATCCTGAAAAAAAAGTAACATGATCCCCGGTTGATCAGATAAAACGTTATGGTATGACATAAGCAATAGGCTCTATCTGCCATATCTCCCACTTATTTCACTGACTTACTGCATGTTTCTAAAAAAAAATGTTAAATATGGATCAACTCCCCAGCCTATTAGGATAACATTTATCAATGATTATTAAGATTTTAAAATAATACATAATATATTTGAACAACTAAATGCAGGAATAGGACAAATTAAAGAATTAAAAGAATGCAACATATATCGATCATATAAATTCATCAATTTTATGATTTACACATGAACCGTCTCGAGAAAAAAGTTTGGAGTCTTGCACCCTATGGAACCTGATGCCTTTTTTGCTTTTCTAGGAACACCAAGAACGGAAATTCTGAGGTATCACATAGGGGTTACGAACGACAACTGATATTACTAACTAATGAATCCAATGACTAGTAAGAATCTTATGAATCGTCACAAGGACCGCGCATCTACTAATCTTTTGCCATCGATAATATGCATTCATGATAAATTCATCAAAAAATGGTTCTACAAGATAATTAGCGGATACAAAAAATGTACAGGTGTATGATCATGATTTATTGATAAAACTTGAATTTAACTCCATGATTAATGCGATATAATATTACATTATATAATTAAAATAATTTTGATATAAAACCTCCTAATATGCATGAGATACATCAATGACAATAAAAGATAAAGAAAATCTACCTTTGATTTAACCTAGACTCGATACCGAGTACTGTGACAAAACAAATGAAGTAATATTTTGGAATAAAAATAGCTAATAATGACATAGTTAAACTAAAAATAATTTTTGGAGTACCTAAGAGAAAATAACGATACTTAATTTTGATCCAAATTACATAAGAAAAAGGAAAGATGC